TCAGGTTTTATAGTTTCAGTTTCAATTTCTTTCCCATATTTGTCAATTTCCTTCACAACATAATGCTTCCATCCTTTCAAAACAGCCTTTCATGCTTTGTTGTCCATAGATTTCAGAAAGCTACCATTCTGACTTTCCACAAGTAATAGTTTGAACCATTCAACATAGGTGGTCTATTGTTATATCCTCATTCTTTCTCCATAGCTCCAGAAAATATATCCCTGAATCTCACCCAATGAATCGAATAGGGTTCCTGCTCTGATACCAATTGAAATTTTAGCACATACAATATAAATGTCAAGACTAATGTCTCAACACACAAGCACGATGTCACAATAGATGTTATGACATCTGATGATAACAAACAGACTTGCTAAAAACAGAAAGATTATGCAGGAAGATAAAGTTCAGAAACGTAAAGAATGCAATGAATTATTAACCCAATTCGGTGCAAACTCACCTACTATGGGGGCTACAAAGCCAGGAAGGAAATCCATTATCAGTAGTATCAATTCGAAGCTAAACAGTCCCAGTTTAGACATCTCACTTAATCCCTACCCAGTGCAACTTCTACCTAGGCAGCTACTAGATATGAGAACCCCCCTCTCACTCCCAATCACCGCATTTTGTGCATATTTATAGTGTCCTAGGTCATTATCACTCCAAATTACTTTAACTTTTCTTTGAAATTGTATTTTAACCATGGTATAAAAAAATTCAAATAACCTATCGACTTTTGATTTTTCATAAGGTAACCAAAAGTGATTCGGGTATGGTCATTAATAAAGTTTACAAACCATCTTAATCTGGTAACATTGATGATCTATGATGGTCCCTATACATTCACTATGAATAAGGGAAATTTTTTGGATGGTTTATAAGGTTGCGCTAGATGGGTAATGCATATGTTATGACACAATATTGAAAAATTATTACTACCCATAAGAACCATTACGCAAGAGTTAGAACTATAATCTATTTTAGACGCTTAAACTTAAAATGATATAGAGACTAGCACATTCTTTATCATTTCCAATCGTCCTTCCCAAAACTAAAATATGAAATTTAGAGAGGTTAGGAAAGAATTTATTGACCCACTTAAAAATATTTTTTAAGTTTGCTAATGGGCACCAAACTACAATAAATTTTAGGAACATAGAGGACTGAATTTAGGGTGATATTTGGTGATACAATTACATCACTTTTACCCATGATCTTTTAAATATTACCATCGTCTAATCGAACTGTAAAATTAATTTGGCATGGAGAATAGATTTTAAACATAATTAAGTCTCCAGTCATGTCGTCATATGCTCTTGAGTCAATAATCCATGAATTTTGTTTTTCCTTGCTATTGTTAGAGCATTAAAAAAACAATTAGTTTTTGAGTTGTAGTAGATGTACCAATGGTTTGGTCAAGAAGTTGTTGTAATTATTCGATTTGCTTATTGCATAATGGAAATGATTTATGACTTATCTCTGGATTCTCCTCTAATATCTAAATTTCTAGTCTTTTCTTCCTTTAAGGGCATATCATGAATGATCTAACATGTGTCCTAGGTAAGACTCAGTTTTCTCCAATGGTCACACTAGAAGGTGTTTTTTTTCTCTAGAAGGGATGAGGCAGATTTCCTCTTGCTACTATTGCATAGTCTTTATGGATGAGGATGTAATAGATTTTTAAGTATTACTTTTATCATGTTCTTATCCCTGCTTACTTCCAAGAATGTTTCTTGAATGTTTGGAAGGGTTTGGTTCCAAGGATTCTCCCACAAATTTCATCAAGTTTTGTAATCAAATCCAATAGGAATGTGTAAAATTTGTCTCTATCAACCATGTATTTCTGATTCTTCTTATCCTCATTACAACTTCATCCAACTTCACCATATACATAAATTTTTTAAAAGAAAACCGAGATACTAAAATACTCTATGACTGAGAGGTATCCTTGTCACAAATTATGGAGTATACTCTTGATTTTTAATAACATACACGTGTTGTCCATATTACATTAGGTTTCCCTCACTACATCCCACGTATCCTTAATTAGAAGTGTATTAGTAGATAAAAAATTTCTCAAATTTAATTTGTCATGGTATTGGGACACCATGAGATTACTAAGATTTTTTCCAGCCGCCGTTTCTCGAGTTTGAGATCTTTTTTTTACTTTTGGTGCATCCTATGTTATAACCTTCCTTCCATTTTCCTTTAAGGTAGATTTTGACAGACATCATCTGTTGATTTTAATTCCTGCAATTAAATTTGTTCCAGTGATGGGAAGAAAGTTCCCCTCAACTAGGTTGTTATTGAACCTTCTAGTTTGATTTCTTCAATGTGTGGCAGCGCAAGATTTAAATATGCTTAAGATCTTTTTCTTTGATACCATGCAGGATTTTGTGGTATATTTCATTAGTATTTGAATTGATACAATTGAGATATAAATAGAATACAAAGAACAAAACATGTACGCTAATATGGCCTAAATTTCGGGAAAATGGTTTCCCATAAGTATTGCTACCTAAATGACATCAATTGAGACTAATTTTATTTACATTAGTATTTGTAACAGTTGCATAATCAGAATTGTATAGCAGGTGAATATTAATCATAATCATATCATTTAGATACTCTCCAACAATATGATATAATATAATTAATACTTGTACCCAACTAAATATGGACTTGTTTTAGAAAGCCTGAAATAGGAGTCTTGGGGTTTTAGTGACTCGCTCTCTATAAATAGAAGATAACATATTCTCCAAGTAATTATTATGGTAAATATTAGACAAGTGAATCCAAACACAAGTAAGGTGAATTGTGTGGGCTTGAAAATGATGTCCAATTAAAAATTCTTTGATAAACAAAGATGTTTATCACAATTTTGTAAACCAAATAAAGAATATGCAACAAAATAAAGAAAGAAATGGAAATTATAGTAAATAGGGTAAGTTTAAAGAGAAAAGGGTTGAGAGAATTTCACTAGAATTTATATAGGTTCGACATAATCACATGGTAAATTCATGTCCCCAAGAATTTACTTCTTTATAGTTTCCACTATATGAGAGCTTTTCACAAGTTATGTCAATTGACCTTTGTAATACCCCAAATTTGTCCTATCCTTTTACTTTTATCTGGCTTATGTATCTCACATTTTTCTCATGTACATAACTTCCATTAGGTCATACAATAAATCATGCATCATCAATAAATTTAGCATGGGAATGGAATTGGGGTTTTACCCTAGTTTGAGATGTACAAATCAAATAAGCTCGGATCATCTGGTTCTCTTATGAAGTACGAATTAGGGAAGTAGAGTTTTGATATGGTCATTCATTGTGGACTTATTTCTCATCAAATTACAGGTTGCGCTTCTACCAAGATTTATCAAAGACAGGTGCTCGGGGTTTTATCAATCTTTCGACTGAGAGTATTCAAGCTAGGATTTTGACTCTTCTTTACATCTTGAGACATTTCCTCATCAATGTGTATTCAAGGCATGAGATTATGGCTCTATCTTCATCAAAGGGTTTTCTCAAAGGCATTACTTTTTGTGTTGGGATCATTGGTCATCAAGTCAAGATGTGAGTTATAGTGGAAGATGTTGAATTTGATGTTTCTTTGTGTTCAAGGCATCATTATTCTTTCAACTATGTGTTGCTTCAGTCAAAGATTAATTCAATGGAGGATAAGGTTCATTAATCAAGTATGGCATGTATTGGATTCATTTTCTCATGGAATATTGATTTAAGGGTTTATACGTGTGATGAATGTAATGTTTCTAAGTGATATCAAGTAGTGTGGTTCAAGGTATTAATCCACGAATTCCTTATGGTATCAAGAATCTCAAGCATATGTTTTGGTCACGATTACAAAAATTTCAAGGTATAACCCAAATTCGTCTACAAATTTCAAGCAAACTTCATTCATGATTCAAAGGTCACAAACCTTGTGCTTTAAAAATTCAAATCCAATACGTCACAAACTATATTTTAATACAAGGTTATATGATTATTCAAATACAAGTATATCTAGTATTACATTACAAGGGGAAATTTATAAAAGAAATCAAATCCTAGTATCCTAAATCTATGCTAAGTCCAAGCTTCATGTCTCATATGGTAAGCTTTCAATATCGCGCCTTCCTTTCCCAAAATCTATCCAAAAACATCACAAAAAACTGCATAATTATCACCATATATAAGGGAATCTTCAGGGACCTTTAGCTCTGAACTATCTCAAAACCATGTTAGAACTGTATTGGATTCTGGTGGATTTTCTGATGCAAATTTTCAAGAAACACAAGGCTGCAACTTGCTATCCGCATAGGCCCTGCGACAATACATCAGGAACAGATCAGAAGAAGAAAATCATTATAACATAAATTACCACAGAAAATAAATTACCTATAACAGAATTTCATAACTTCCATAACAGAGTTCAACTAACTTCTCTAACTCCTAAAAAATTCCTAACAAACTCTAACCAACCTTTAAACAGTTTATAACTAACAAATCTTCACCATTTAATGGCTTAAAAGAAATTAAATCCAACATCTATCATTCACCAAGCTGTAACAAACTTTTGGCACTTTCTAACAGGATATATAACACAAATCATGAACAAGATGGGGGGAGATTCATTTTAACGAGAATTTATCACAAAATCACAATCAGAGAAAAAACTCACCAAAAAGATCTCAACTCTTTCTCTGACTCTCCATCAACCACCAACCATCAATCTTCAACAGATCCATCATCATCTTCATCAATTCAACACCATCACCAACCTTCATCCTCTATAATCTCTCTTCAACCTGCACCAAATTCTCTGCAATACCAACACCAGAAACTCATCAATCTTTTTCGATTTTCTTTAGTATCAACACAATAGAATTTCACCGCCTCAAGAATGAACAACAACACCACTTCAACTTTCATCGTTCTGCACTTTTCAACAACACACCTTCGCGCATCGCACATCACACTTCAGCAACAACAACTTCAACAATAGAATACACATAAAAACGAAGAGGGAGTAGAAGAAGAGATCAAGATGTAGCGAACAAGACATAAGAAGAAAACTGTGCACGAGAAAAGACATACCTTTCGGTTTTCATCACCTTCATCAGAATCGAAACTGAAAACAAACAGAGGTACATAAGCTGCGACCGGAAACGATTCATGATGGTGGAATCGAAGGAAGATTTGTGAACAATGAAGACGCGACGGTGGAGCTTTGCGAACGGGAGAAGAAGGATGCATTTTGAGATCGCGTTTGAGCAGAGTTGAAGGGAAAGCGAACCAGATGGAGGGAAACAATAGTGCATCTGTGTGATTTGACGGAATTGAATGAAGGATCGTGTGAAGAGGATGAAGAAAATTGCGTTGTTTGCAAGTTTGAGGGAGGAAGAAAATGTTGTTCGTGAAGTCTGAGCAACACAAAGTTTTCAACCCTATTTTTTTTCTTATTATTATTTCTTATTTGTTTTTTTGTCAATCTATTATAAATCTATAAAAATGATAGTCCCTGGAAATTACCACAACACCACAGCTGAAAAAATCCATGGTTGATCTATTGTATTGGGGTAAAATTGAAAACTCCAAAATATCTTGCACCACATTGATTTGAATCTGATGTGGCACTCCCACAATTTTTCACCACATTTTCAATTTTTTTTTTTCAAATAAATCCCACATATTATACTGTTTTTTAAAATAAAGAACCAATTCAATTTATTGTGCAGGCAGCGTGAGAAACCCAACCATGGGGAATACCAATTCATTATTCATTGCCATTCATTGTGCCTCTCTTCCTCTTCCCTATGCCAAACCATTATGCCTCTCTTAATCAGAATTCAAATTCAAATGGAACACCAAAAGTTTTCACTCTTCCTTCAATCCTTCCCCAATGTGTACTTATGTATAACCTCCATTGCTTAACACCTTCCAGTCGTTTTCATTCACGCAAGCCATTGCTACAGACGTCCCTTTCGTTTTCATTCACGCAAGGCTCTCTGCGCTGTTACGAATCGCTGCGTGACGATGGCACGCCCAATCGAGTATATCAGTAGCATTGACGATTCGAAGGATTTGTGGAAGGTTGCTGTTAGATGTAAGCATCTGTGGTCTGTTACCAGTTCTCAGAATAGAGAGCACTTAGAGCTTATTCTGTTTGATTCAAAGGTATAATATAATCTAAACGTTTCTGCTTTGCCATTCTGATTTTGTTGTAACAGTACTGGTATATGATACTGATTTCAAGATGTTTGTATTTTCACAGTTGGATTTGATTCAAGCCATTGTGCCATCTTATTTGGTATCAAAATTCAAAACACAGCTTGAACTTGGTTGTTCCTACATAATGCAGAATTTCAAAGTTTCCAGCAATGATTTCTCCTTCAAATCCACTGATCATAAGTTCAAATTGATTTTCTGTGGTTCAACTTCCGTCAAAAAGGTCCAACTTGCTGACATACCTCTGAACCACCTCAAGTTAATTGGAATAAATGTTATTATTGAGGGTAAATACAGAACGAATTTGTTATATGGTGAGTTACATTTTTACTGTTATAATAGAACGCATTGTATTGTGACTTCTCCGTTATACATAACTGTCTGTGGTGAACTTTTGTGCAGATATAATTGGTGGGGTTACTGAAATATCCTAAGCCCAGATAATTCCTGATAACAACAAAAGCAAGGTTGTGTTTTCATTAACTGATCTGAGGTAGGTGTTTCATTTTGTTTGTTAACATTGATGCTGATAAATATAAAAGTCTAACATGTTCATGTTGTTTGTTTTGTAATTCCTGTCAATCAGCAAACATCATGTGCAATGTACTCTTTGGGGTAAATTAGCTGTGCAACTGAATGAGTATTATACGACTCATAAGGCTGATGGTAGTATTGTTCTCCTACTTATGAATGCAAGGATCAAGGAACCTCAAGGTATGCTATGTGACTATTTCTTATTATATCCAATTATTATATCCAACTTTAAGTGTTGTCATTTATAAATATCTCAATTTTCAGAAAATTATCCTTTAAATGTATCAAATGCTTGGAACGGCACAAAACTGCTCATCAATGATTTGTCTATTGAGGAGGTTAAAAACCTTAAAGAGAAGTAAGTGATTTTATTATGAAGTTATGAATTAGCAACCTATGATTACTAACAGTCTGTTTTCATTCTGATCTATGTACATCAGACTTAAAGATGATATGCCGACGCTCTCATCCTCGAGCATGCAAATGGAAACCACAAATACCTCTGTTTTTTCTGATTTGGACAAATTTGTATGGAAAGCTGAAGTGTTGAGTCTGTCTGATATTGCATATCTGCAGACTGTAAGTTGCTCTTTAATACATGACTGTCTTAGATTGAGGAATTACACAGACTGGGTTCTAATCCATTTTCTGAGACATCATCCCATCTTTCTGTTTCAGGAAACTACATGTGTGACTGTTGCGACTCTGGAGAAGTTTGAATGTGGGCAGTCAGGATGGTATTATGATGGATGTAGTGAATGTACCAAAAGTGTGACTTTGAAGGATGGAAAATTCATGTGTTATTCCAAACACATCAGTTCTGAGCCAGTCCCAAGGTAACTTCTAAGTATTGCATATCAATGATTATCATCATATAACCAAACGCTTCATTACTGACAATTTCTTATTTTGATCACGTATGGTACAGATTTAAGCTTGAAGTGCTTGCCTCCGATAGAAAGTTAAAATACAAGTTCGTATTTTGGGATGTAGATTGTGTAAAGTTGATTGGGAAGTACGCCCTTCAGATGAAGTTGGATTTGATGGAGGTATTTTCCATTTGGCTAATATGTAAGTTAGATAATTACCACATAAATAACATATATTGTTTTAATCATTTAGACTGGAGATTTTGATCCCCTTGAATTCCCTTATGAACTTGATGTGATGCTGAAGAAGGAGTTGGCTATAAGAGCAGTGTTTCAACCAAACAAGGCCAGTCTTTCTGTAATCGGATTTAAGGGAGATGAAATGCTACGTACCAAAATAAAGGAGAGGTTTAAATGTGAAGAGGTATTGTTGTACTCATGTTTTACTGTTGTTAAAATCAGTATCATGTGCATTGGATTTTTTTAACAATTGTTTAAAACTTGCAGCACACTTCAAAGATTGTCGTCTCAACATATGACACTCGGGATGATATGCATACAGCATCGGTATGTTTTAAATAGGAACGACCTATTACTCTTGCCATCACATTTTGAACAATTGTCTAACGTTTATTTCTTGCGTTTTTTAACTTGCAGTGTACTCCGACCATCACCACCTCGGAAAAACAGTCTCATGATGATCCACAAACAGTTTCAGTGCGTCTTTTTTTAGCTTTCAACATTAACAAATTAGCCTATTAAACAATGTCTTACTTCCTTTTTTATGCTACTGATTTTGTAATGACTCTTTAATGGCAGGATCCGTTATCAATCACTGCAGATTATGACCCTTCAGTTTCCAACTCTGCACTTACACCGTCAAAAAGATCTATTCCTGAGACAGTTGAAGAACTCGACAGTGCCCAACTATCGTCCACCAAGATAATAAGGGACATCAAGCTGGAGAAATGATGCAGTCAATTATCATCGACGATTTATTTTTACTTTAAGCTGTTTTGGACAACATTGCACACCTTATTTTGATTGATGTAATGAAATATTTCTGGTTTACATTTTGTTTATTCTGGTTTATGAGGATTTGATTTGTCATTCTTGCTTTTTGTTTGATCCTTTTGACATTGTATATGAAAGAATGATATGATTTTAGTCATTTAAGCTGCAAAAAACTATGTATAATTTACACTGCAAAAAGCAATATGATGTTGGTAATTCCTTATTTTGTTTAATATAATAAATTTATTCTGTTTTCTTTTGGAAAATCAGTGGCCAATTGTGTATGCAATGGAGTGTTTTTGGTTACCCCACACAACATCCTTTTCTTTTTTCATTTACATATTTGGAAACCTTTGAAAAACATTATCTCACCTAATGACGGAGTATTTGGAGTTACCTTATCACCACATCCTTTTCTTTTTTCATTTACATGTTTGGAAAACTTTGAAAAACATTATCACACCTAATGATTTGTTTTACCTTACACAATTGTTACATATTTTTTCTCCATAATTCTAAACCATTAAAATATAATCCCACAATTTGCCATTTCAAAATTCTTTTTGATGACGGATGTATATTTGTTATGAATTGAACTTTGATATAACTTTAATGTTGTATTTAGTGGCGCTTTAAATTACACTGTCATCTAATCTGTTGAGTTGTTAACTTAGTGTCTTTGAAAGGAAAAAAATGTTTCTCTTTATGTCTTGATGCTGGACAATCCATATTGTTTTGCATACTTTATGCATAATACACGGTAGTATATCAGCATATTGTACATTAATCTAAAAAACTAATACATGAATAACAGATTATGCATAGCAGAAATCCATGACACTTGATTAATATAAATTGTTACCGGATAATACCGGAAATGATATGCAATTATCTCATCAACGCAAGATATGGAACTAATTTCGTATCATCCCATTTAACAAATCATAAGCAGATTGTACATTGAGCCGTAGCCCAACAATATCAAATAACAAAACTAATAACAAAGACAAATGGGCATCAAATAGATTTTCAAAACAAATAGTTATGCATTTCCGCCCATACAAAAATAATCCCTCCTTTTTGCCATGATGCTTCCCATGTAATCCAATCAACAACTCCTTTCAATGCTGCCCTCTCTCAACTTTGACCAATATACGTTCCACAGGAGGATGCTCTACACTGAATAAGAGAACGTCACCTTTCGACAGCTCTTTGTCCTTTGCAAATTTAAACCAGCCCCTTGACAGAAACTTCTCGGTCATGTTCTCCCTGGATTTGAAAACACATTGGTACGTAATACCCGAGTCTGTGTCATGAAGATCAATATATGATCTTGGTTCCATGAAGATTTCCTTGATGACTGCTGCTGGAAAGTGCAGCAACATTAAAACTTTATTAGCTATGTCTATTCATTCAATGTTATGCATTCTTACAAACTGTAACAGCAAACAGATCAAGAGCTTACAAGAACTTGATTTTTTATCTGGCTGCTGCTCTTAACAACTTTCTGCCATCTGCAAACAAGTTTCTCTTGCATGGCAGGAGGTTGTACAACATCAGCAGCATCAGTAGTGTTGTTCTCCTCGCTGCATTAACAAACACGATTATTTAAACTACTAAGACACTATACATGACATGTAGAATACAAACAGTTTCTGATCATTCCATTTTATATCCCTTGGAAAATGTATATTTTTGGAAGTACTTTTAATTTTACACATTTACATCAAACCATGGTTACATGTTACAAACAAAAATAAAATGATGATAGTATAGAATACAATAGGAATAACCTTTGGTTTCCAATGGCAATTTTGTGTTTCC